GAGGGTGGTGGGGTTGATTATTTATTAATTTATGTCAAATGGCAGGCGTTTTGATAGTTTTCACTAGCCCTTTAGCTGACTTTGGGCTTCACAGAGAGGAGGAGGAACATCAAAATGACAAAAAGTCGAGAGGAGGGACAGAATAATGATTCATAGATGTTAAAGAGACAGACAGACAGACACAAAGGCAGGGAAAAGGTAAGGTGAGTACTGTAAAAGGAGTCGAATATGATATGTAGTGGGGTGATGGTAGTTTGAAGTCAGAAATCAACTGCCAGTTAATAGACTTTTTTGCCGTATGAGTATACGTTGCCCAGGGTGCACCACGTGGAGGTAAGTCAATCGCACACCCCAGGGGTTGATTAGTAATTAAATCAAAATTTGTCAATTGACGCAATTTACTCAACTTCAAGGTGGCCACAAATCCAGAGTTCCTGTGGTTGGTGTTTTAATCGAAGGAGGTCAACACGCCTTCCGCAGAGTACTCGATCTTCTTACTGGGGAGAATCCAATACCCGTTGTGATCTGTGATGGATCAGGACGTGCTGCTGATCTGCTTGCCTTCATGTCACGATATGCCGATTCCGATGGGTTAATTTTTTGGCCTCTTTCTTTTTCTTACGCAACTTTTCTACCGTGAAAATGCGAGTAAAATGTTGATCGCCTCCTTTGATTTCAGCGATTTGGTGCCGAAACTTCGTCGACAAGTGGTGGCCAATATTGAAAGAACATTCCAGTTGAATCGGTCAGAAGCGGAGAGCCTCTACTTGGATATGAAAGGTTGTATGTGTCGTCGAGATCTAGTGAGTTTGAAGTGGCATTAATTTCATTTATGAAGGCTGATTAATGAGATTGCCCACATTACGCAAAATTTCCCCTCCTAGAACTAATAATCTTCCTTTGAGTGAGAGCTGACACCAGCCTTTCCCAAACTGGAACCCGCAAGAGAGGTTTGGAAGAATAAGTGAATACGTCGCCTGTTTCACGTTATTTGGACATAGCAATAGGCTGTGAACAAAGGTATTAGATAGTAGAGGTTGAAACCCGACAATATTGGTAATGGTAGGAAGCAATGTCTGATGTAGAATTGAAAAGTTCACCAAAATGTATAGTGGCTTGTGCTGGCTCGCGAGCCCGGTAGACGAGTAATCAACGTGCATGGGACTAATTCGATAATAAGATTGAGAGAATAGTCATATCAGATTGGAAGTGGTTGAGTTCTGTTCAAGAGCGATTAATTTGCCCAAATCGGCATGAAGCTTGCACAAAATCTTCAAATACGTTTAATTTTTTTATACTTTTCAGTTGAGTGTCTTCCAAATGGGTGATGAGACTTCGAGTGAAATTGATCTCACAATCCTAACGGCTCTTCTACAAGGTAAGTTGAAGTACTTTCACTTTCATTTTTGTTATCGGAATTCGATAAGAGGTAGAAAATTGTGCGCATACCCGTCCACTTGGAAATGCGTCCAAAACGCGCGGTTGCAGTCATTGGCAAACAGGCATATTGGATCATTTTTTTGCCAGAAAGTGTTGGCACTCCTCCGTAAAGGCGGCTATAAGTAATACCCAGCCATACTCTTACAGATGAATAGATGCCAGTGGGTGTGTAGAGCTGTTTGATTTCAGGACCGAATTGACCAGGTTCTATTTTACCTGCTCTCATGTTCCTCCGAATACCTTGGCCGGTTTTATCTAGTCATGCCTATGACAAATGTCACAAAGTGTGCAGGGAAAAAGCATTGGAGGCAGAAGAAAAGTGCACTAATGAGAATTGGAGACAAGAAATGCGGAAGGTGGTGACAGAAATTGTCCACTGCAAATGTCACCTTGAAAAGGGTGTCTCCCCACCTTCCCATCTTAGTCACATCTGTGTTGACTGTCAAAATGAACGTCCCCCCCCCCTCCCCATCGGAATCTGTTTGTTCACTGATTGCAGCAGCAGTAGCTACTTTATTCTGGTGTCATTAGACCGTCTCATTTGAAACGATTGGACCTAGAGTTATGGACATATAAAGTTCTTCCAGTTTGAGTCATCTTGAGCTATTTCCATGACCTTCTACGCATAAAAATTCGCTTACATAATGCCCTAATTCACTTTTTCCTTCTATCTATGATTAGTAGTCATCCTCAGTAATTGCTAAATGGCCGCTGCTATTTGTGTTTGACCAACAGGAATGATTATAGAAACTTTGTATCACATC